CTTGAAAACTCAACCTCCTTTGCCATCTCTGTTATCTAAATGTGTTCTGTTGTACATAGGGTTTTCAGAGGCCTGCTATTTCAGAAGTGGATGGCCAATCCTTCTTCTAGGAAGAAGGAAGATTAAGAGAGAGGATCTTAAATATGCCAACGATAAAGATGAGGTCTACTAGAAGGATCTAGGGGAAACTATGGGGATAGATTAAGAAAGGGATAGAATATATTCTACATGAAAAAGAAATCATTGTATATTAGCATGTTGTGAAGTTCTTATGGTCTAGGCTGTGGGAGCTGTGCTGCTACCCCAAAAGCAACGTCCTTCTAGTGGTTTGGTTCCACCAGTGGCTCTAGAGAAAAAGGATGAACTATCTTCTCTCATGTGATATACAGCCTCTGAAAACTTGCTGGAAGGCCGGCTATTAGTCGGTTTCAAGTTAACAATAATGAGTTATTCTGGGCAATAAAATATGTAAACATCATCACTGCCAATTTACATAATGATCACTTCAAAGCATAGGTTGAAATTACATTATCTTTTGACTTATATTTCTCTATGCTTTGTCCAGTTTTACTATTTTGCTCTAAACCATTGCAAACGGCTTCCCCATAAGCAATGATCTGAGTACAAGTAGACCACTTGGGAGGAGATCAGGACATTCCGCTGTGGGAGTGGAGAAGTGAGAAATGGAAGAGATAAAAACCAATAAAGGAAACAGCCTCCTGTGGGCACTAGAATCAGTGTTTAAAATGCAGTTCAGAGTTATCCCAGAGCGATGCGGAAGATGAGCTACGCAGCACATCCAAGGTTTATCTCTCTAACTGTGGGCATTCCTAGGAGCTTCTAGGCTGTCCAGAGTAGGCAGAGTGAGCTTTTAGCAAGAACATACAGCTGGTGACAGAAGTCAGACGAGTGTGTTCACACATAGCAAAGGATGAGCAGATAACAAACTCTGGTGGCACAGTGGTTATGAACGCGGGGGCTGACGGAAAGGTCAGTGTTTAAAACTCACCAGGTTGCTCTATGGAAGAGAACTGTAACAGCTTGTTTCCTTAAGGATTACAGCCTTGGAAAACCTACAGAACAGTTCTACTCTGTCCTGTGGGATTGCTATGAGAAGGAATTGTGTCAGTGGCAATAAGTAGTGGTTGACTATGGGTCAAGGCATCAAATATTGGAGAGAAAGTCATAATTAATTAGAACACATTGGTCATTAATAGAAATGTTGAAGTGACCTTTCATAGGATGTCTCGGGAATTGGACAGGTAACAGTACATATTGACTATTTAGAGAAGAACTTTACTAAACACAGGGAGTAGACTTAGGGGCGGGTTTTGTTTTGTTTTTTCTTTCTTTAGTTCTTGCAAAGTCTGGTGATTAAAAGATAAATAAAAAGGAAAAAAAAGATGTGTACGTATTTGTAGCATATCATTAATAATTAAAAAATGACATAAATATTTCTTCCTGTGAGACTGCAAAGATCCCTAAAATATATTATAACTCAAAAAGCAATGAAATGAAAGCAATGACTCACAGGGTCACTGGAGAATAGGGCGAAGCTTAGGAAAGATACTGAAAGAGTTGCGGCTTGTAATAAAATATTAGTGTAGTGGACACTATGGTCCTATACTGAGTCCCAAGCTGATACCAGCCAGAACCTTCCTGTCTTCACTTAAGCTAGTAAAAAGTAGCAAATGTTTTTTATAGAAAAGAGAACTCTGGACTTGGCAAACATAAAGTAAATTTTGTGGACTTATCAGCAGTGGTGTCACTAGAAAGATGAAGTTAGGGGCTGTGACACTACTGGGAGTAACACAAAAATGATTGTGCATAATGTTTTTTGTGCAGTGTTTCACTAGAAATTTATTATTTTTAATAAAAATATTCCTGTAGTTAGTGTAGCAAACTAAAATGTGTTTTTCATAAGTTCAGCTTACATGTATCAATATAACATATACATAAGGCTAAAATAGGAGCTCTGGTAGCATAGCTTGTAACTCATTGGGCTGTTAATGAAAAGGTTGGAAGGCGGAACCCATCGGCCATGACTTGGGAGAAAGATGGACAATCTGCTCCCACAAAGAAACCTAGTCGAGGACTGGCTGCTATGAGTGGGGACCACTCAATGGCAGTGGGTGGGTTTACAACAGTAAAACCGGATGCTAATTTACTTTTTGAAATGTCTAATGTGCTCCAGTCAGAGCTGCCATTATTGCTTATTTACAACAGTGCTTTGAATCACAGTTTGATCTGCAGACACCACAAGCTTATGCTGTTGCTTTTGTTTGGGTTGCTCCTGTTTTGTTTTTATAATTGGCTGCTATTTCAAATTTTCTGAGGCTTTAGCTACAGTATGGTGGTAATTCATAATTGTGTTATCAATGGATTTGGGGGAGAATGAGACAAAAATTTTTAAAAAGAGGGGGAGAGAAACCAAACAAGGCTTTTACCCCATTATTCACGACTCTGTAACTAATACTGTTCTAATTCAGTGTGGAAAGATTTTTTTTAAAGATTTTATAAAATAAATTATTTTTTAAAATCGATCAGGAGCTGGTGGGTGGACTTTTTATTTAAAAGATGGGTGGGCCCTGACTAAGTTTCCAGTTTGGAGGCTTCTGTATGAAGCAGTTGGATTCTGGACGTAGGTTGTTTTGATTTAATTCAAAGTCAGGTGCAAACTGCTTGGCTGTTTTTTATTTCATTAACAATCTAGTATAAACTGATTAGTCATCTGGATTTAGGTGACAATCAGTTGTGGGCTGGAAGCCTCTTGTTTAAATCAATCAGGAAGTGGTGTTAATTGTGTTTGGGGAGAACATTCCGAGTGGTACAGCACTTATCTGTCAGTTTATTGTACTGAGATAAGTTGGGGCTCTTGTCATACTGAAAGACATGCCAGTGGTGTGGCAAATGTCACACGGGTTACTCATGGTGGATAGGAATTGGTAAAGATCCCAGATTAAGACAGACTTGGAAGCAGGATTGGCATCCACTTCTTACATAGCAGGCTTTTGAAAACCCAATGAACACTAGAGAAACAATGATAGTTATAGAACAGGGTTCAAATCTTTTGTTCATGGGGTCGCTATGAGTTGTACTCAATTGAATGGCACTTAACAACAACAACATTCATACAGTCTAGGAAATATTACCCTCAAGCAATTTATCACTACATCACACATTGTTGCTGTATACCATTGAGTTGGAACTGACCCATAGTTGACCCTCCAGTGAGTTTTCAGAGGCAGTAAATCACACAGGAGTTAAATGTCCATCTTTCTCCTGTGGAGCAGCTGGTGGATTTGAACCACATACCTTTTAGTTGGGCATGCAATTCCTGACCACTAAGCCACCAGAGCTTATCACATGTTATTCTGTGATTAAAATGGACATAAGGACTAAGAGTTCTGGTGGCGAGTACATTAAAATATCAGACTGCTAACTAAAAGGTCAGTAGTTTAAACGAGCCAGGTGCTCTGAGGGCAAAAGATGACCACTGGCCTTGTAAAGATTCACAGTCTTGAAAACTCAATGGTTTGTCATTGTGAGTTGGAATTGACCTTAGGGCATTGGGTCTGGTTTGGCTTTTTTGAACAGATTCCATATGATCTGGAACCGAGCAAGATTTGTGGCATGGGGAGTGACAGTGCAGTTTACATATCTCGGTCGAACCAACCCTGGAGCTGTCAGTACTTACCAGTTTAATATGTTCTCGCTTTTGGTACTTCTCACTGTAATACTGTTCTTGCCGAAGATTCAACAGCTGCTGCTGTTGCTTGTCCTTTAAGTCTATTAACTTTTGGGTCATTTCTGCATCCAGGGCAGCAAGATCTTGCTCAATGGTTGATGAATCAGGACTGCTGGGCTCCGATCTGCAAAGAAACAGAGACTGATGACAGAGCTTGTGGGCAGGGGCAAGCCACAGGGATGCCAGTCACTGGAGTTCTTCTGAGAGGCAGCACCCCATTGGTTTGGAAAGAGTTCAATTAGCCACTTAGGATAAAGGGTGTAGTCTCAAGAACTGCTTCAAACCACACAGGGTCTCCAGATAGAGGGAGTGTGAAAACTGTGTGGCTCCAAGAATAAGCTTGTATCGTATTCGTTCTCATTTGAAAATAGCACATGAAAATAGCAACTTTTTAGCTGTGGGTTGGTTCCAACTCGATGGTACACAATGACAACAATATTAAATATCATATTTTGTGTGTGTGTGTGTGTGTGTGTGAGAAAAATTTATATTTCAAATTAGTTAGCTGGACTCAGTTTAGATGATCCCAATTTTCTTGGCAACATCCAAAGCATCACAGTCAGGAGCAAGTCGAACACAGGCCTTCTTCTCTCCATCAGGCCTGATCAAAGTGTTGACCTTGGCCACATCATAGAGCTTCTTTATAACTTGTTTAATTTGGTGCTTGTTGGCCTTGACATCCACAATGAACACGAGGGTGTTGTTATCTTCTGTCTTCTTCATGGCTGACTCGGTGGTCAGGGGAAATTTGATGATGGCATAGTGGTCAAGCTTGTTTCTCCTGGGGGCGCTCTTCCAGGGGTTTTTGAGCTGCCTTTGGAGTCTCAGAGTCTTAGGTCGCTGGAAGGTGGGTGACGTGCGGATCTTCTTTTTATTTTAGCTGTGAATGCCCTTCAGGACGGCCTTCTTGGCCTTTAATGCCTTTGCTTTGGCTTTAGTGTGGGGAGGGGCAGGGGCTTCCTTCTTCGCTTTCAGTGCCATCTTCGTGGAAAGGCTAAATATCATATATTTTTAATATCAATTCCAACGATCTTCTTGTATCCATTTAACATCACTGGTGCAATTAAAAGAAAAAAAATAAAGCTCTGGTGGCATAATGTGTTATGTTTGGCACCAGTGACATTAATCTTAAATTACCAAACATCTATCTGTGTGACTCTATGACTGTGAACAATGCAAAAAAAAAAAAAAAGTTACCTTCCAGAGAGAACAAGTGTATCCTCCTTTCTCTTTTGTAGAAGTACCATTTGTGGTTGGTACAGTTCCCAGGGAAGTGTATTTTAGCAATACATTTGCGCTATTGAAGGATATTCTTGAGAAGCAGAATCTATTGGCTAGGAGCCTACACCTGGCATCTGAGTATATTGTTGTTTGTTGTGTGTACTGTAGAGTCAGAACCGACCCGTAGCTGAACGTCAGGTGAGTTTTAAGAAGCAGTTAATCGCATGGGAGGAGACTGTCCGTCCTTCTCTCATGGAGCAGCTGTGGCCTTGAACAGTGAACCTTCAGGATTACACTATAGCTTCTTGCCACTAGGACACCAGAGGATACAGAATTATCGGAGGAGTTGCTATTTTCATGAGCAGTGCCAAATGAGAATGAGTACTATACAAGACTCTGATAAATGTGGATCCTGATAAATCAGAATTACACTGTAGTGTCAAAGTGGCCATCGTGGTGGGAACAAATGGATATTTATCATCTAGGCAACAGAAAGATGGGTAATCAACTCTCATGTGATTTGCTGCTTCTGAAAACATGGGAGAGTCAGATTCAACTCAACGGTAAAGAGTTGTTGAGATGATTGAAGAATTAATGTCTTTGAATCAGAGATGACAGAGTACTGAATAACCTATGGACCACTAAAAAAAGAAAAACCAAATCAATTTATCTTGGGGAAATGCAATCAGAATGGTCTTTAAAGGCAATGATGGTGAAACTTCCATCTCACACACTTTGGCAAATCATCAAGAGATGACAACCCTTGGAAAAGGACATAATGCTTGGGGAGGTGGACAGTCAGTGAAAGAGAGGATAACTCTCAAAAAGATGAACTGACACAGTGTCGCAACAATGGGCTGGAGTATCATGGAGGTCATGACAATGGCACAGGATAGGTCAAGGTTCTGAGCTGACGCTCACAGGTTTGCTGTAAGTCAGAGTTGACTTGATGACAAATAACAACAGAGCAGTGTAGCCAGAATAGAAGTGTATGACTTCCACAGCAATGGAGAGCTCTCATTCACAGGCTTGTCAGTCTGTGCCAGGCTTTCCGTACTTGATGTAAACTTTCACAATAATATATAGATACTATCATCTCCAGGAAACAGGGACTCAGAGGAACAACTTCCCAAGAACACAACATGCAGGGGAAGAAGTGAGACTTGCCCAAAGACAGATAGCTAAGGGAGAAGTTGTTGGCTAGGGTCTGCACCCTTGACAACAGTATCTTAGTAGGTAAAATGTTGGGCTGGTAACCAAAAAGATTGTCCGTTTAAACCCTTTAGCCACTTTCAGGGACGAAGACAATGCAATCTCCTCTCAATGAGTCTCAGACACTAGATGGAAGGTTGTCATGAATTTGAATTGACCTGACAGGAGAGGGTTTATTGTAAATCTCTTTGTACCTTAGTGATGCAAATAATTAGCATATTGGACTGCTAGCCGAAACGTTAAAGGCTTGACTCTAACCAAAGGTACTTCCTTGAGTCCAGCAAAGGCCTTTTGTAAAATCAACCACTTAAAACCCTACGCAGCACAGTTCTATCTGACACACATGGAATTATTAGGAGTTGAAGCTGAATGGCAATTGTTTGCTTATTGCATTAATTTTCATTGTGTATCAAAGGAGGGAGGATGGACAGATGTCCTTATGAAGAAAAACTTTTCTTGTTCTATTTTCAAATACTAGGAGCTTAGGGACATTTTTATATTTGAGGAACAATATAAAAAAAATAACATAGTGAAGAATGTTTCTGCATGTTCTGGAAAAACAAGGCTATCTTCTCTGTTGACTAATGCTGCTTGTATAAGATCCAGGAGATATAAATTCCTTTGTAATTTAATATTGGGAAAATGTTTGTCTCTCTTGGAACGGTAAGCAAATTTCTTTTAATCAGATAAGGAGAATGATGAAGCCCACATTTCCTTTTCTCAGAAGCTAATAGCCAAATTCAGTGTTCAGGACAGAAATGATATTAAATGGCTAGTGCTGGCCAATAGAAACTTAATGTGAACTATATATGCAATTTAAAATGATTAAGAGCCACCTTGAAGAAATGAACTGGAGTTGTTGTGTGCTGCCAAGTCAGAACTGACCCTCAGCTGACCCTCTGGCAGGTTTTCAGAGGCAGTTAATCTCATGCAAGGAGACTGCCCATCTTTCTCCTGTGGAGCAGCTGGTGGATTTGAACTGCCTGCCTTCAGAATTGCAGCACAGCTTCTCTTTTTTTTTTAATTTAATTTTCTTTTTTTTCAGATTTCCATTCATTCATTGTTGCACACTTTCCTCCCTGCACCTTCCCCCACCAGGCCACCAGAACTCCCTAAAATGTTTAATAGCCACCTTGAAGAAGTGAATGAGAGTAGGTGAAATTCATTTAATAATCTAATTCTTTAAGAAGAATCAATGCTTTCCAATCGTGGTGCTGGAGAAGAATCGTGAACATACCATGTTGTTGTTGTTGTTATGTCCCATCAAGTCACCTGCAACTCATAGTGACCCTATGTACAACAGCCCTAAATACCATGGACCACCAAACAAATGAATAAGTCTATCTTGGAGAGATAAAAGGGAGCTGGTATTTCTCTTTGTCACAAGACAAGGTACCTTATCTACCAGGTTCTATGTTGTTAGATAACATCGAGTCAAGCATGACACATAGCAACCCTATGAACAAAAGATCTGAACCCTCTTCTACCCTGTGCCGTCCTCACACTTCTGACACACAAGAGCCTACTGTGGTAGTTACCCTGTCAACCCACCTGGTCAAAGGTCTTTTCCTTTGCTAACCCTCTTCAAGGAATAGCTCCTAGCAACATGCCCAAAGTATGAGAGGTGAAGCCTCATTATTCTTGCCTCCAAAGAGCACACTCCAGAGGCACCTCTCCAAAGCATATCTGTTTATTCTTTTCACAGTCCATGGGATGTTCAGTGCTTTTCTTCAACACCACAGCTCAAAGACATCAATTCTTCCTTATTCACCATCCAGTTCTCAGATGCACAGCAAGTGATGAAAAATACTATGGCCCGAGTCAGATGCACCTTAGTCTTCAAAGTGACATCATTGCTCCTCAATAATCTGGAGCAGTCCTAACTGCTGAAAATGGAGGGAGCCGAATGGCTTTCCTGCCTGTGGTAGTATGCTGTTGTTGCTGTTAGGTGCCAGATTTGGCATCTACTCATTTGTTTTTGTTGTTGTTGTTAGTTGTGGCAATTACAAGTCATAGTGACCCTGTGAATGGTGGATCTGAACCCTGTCCTCACCTGTGCGACCCTTGTCATCTCTGCTGTTGTTGAGCGCATTGCTACAGCCACTGTGTCAGTCCATCTCGTTGAGGGTCTTTCTCTCTCTTTCACAGCAACCTATACACAAACAGAACAAACCACTGTCTGACCCATGTCTTCCTCACAATTCCCACTGTGCTTGGCCAAGTCCAGCTGTACCGTCTGAAACATCAAAACCCCACGCAAATGACGCTCTTCTTTCACCCTACAAAGCAAACAAGGACAACAGGCGTTGGGCTTACTTTTTCTTGCTGTCCTTTTTGGCCGACTTCTCCAAGGCCGCCCTCCTGCGCAGGTAGTCGTTCTGGATTTCATTGTATTTGGTGGTGTGCTCTTTGATCAAGTCGGTGGTCTTCTTATGATGTCTCTTCACCAGGTCTTTCATTTCCTTGTAGTGCTTCTTCTGGAGTTTCACAAATGATTTTTGCTGTTTTAGCTCGTCAATCGTCTGGGCTTCCATTTCTGCAACAAACAATTATGAGAGCTCATAGACACGGAAAGGGCTGGCAGGACAAACACACAGAAGAGCAGGGACCCGCCTGAGGGCGTTTAGCTGAGAAGGCGGGTCACCTGGAGCTGAGGGACACAGCACTGATTTCTAGTGTACCTGGGTTCCAGGGGGATCTTCCCACGTGCTAACTTGACAACCAAGTTGCATAACTTCTCGAAGCCAGAATTTTTTCATTTGTGATTTATATTTAAGTATATATTAATTGTTTCCCCCCCCTAAAAGCTATGATTTATGAGAAGTCAAGCACAAGGTGGAGACTTATTTACAAGTGATTTATTGAGAGGGATCAGGCTGAACAGTCTGCTTCTTTCATTCCCCTCCTGAGAGTCCCTCTCAATAAACTCAACCCATTTTCATCAAGTCAAAACCAACCCACAGCTGACCCTCCAGTGGGTTTTCAGAGGCTGTCAAATGCATAGCAGGGGCCTGCCCATGTTTCTCCCATGGAACAGCTGGGGGATTCGGGCCATCTGCCTTTGGGTTGCTAATGCAGAGCCTTGCCCACTAATCCCCAGGGAAATATTTCAAATCACAGAGCCTGATCTTAAAACATTGTATTTTTGTATTGATATCATTTATCAATCGTAGAATATGTACTCTTCCCAAATGTTAATGTTTCTGAAATCAAGCTGCTTCTGGGAGTCAATACAGTGTCAGGATATGTGTTTCCCTTCTCATCAATACAAGGGCCTCACAATTGATGGCGTCTTGGCTTCAAGGAATTCTCTTCCACCTGGACCTAGATTAAGTCACATGTCTCCACTTATGATTCAAACTGTTTTTGCTTTGAAGAACAAAAAAATCCTATTACCAGAAATACTTAGAACTTGTAGGAGGTACAGAAGTAATACATCCCATGAGCAATAGACTGAATGGAAGCTAACTAGTGGATAAACATTGAAGTCACAATAATAATTTGTGTTCTCGGAGAAAAGACAGGGCAATGATGGGCAAAGTCCAAAGGTGACTGCTTTTATAAATCACGAGAATGACTACACGAAACAAATGTGAATGAAGAGCAGTGTGAAACACAATGTATATAAACTTTGTAAGCAAATCAATTAAAAGACGTAAAATAGAATGCTTATGAATGATTGTATGAAACACAGTATAAGTGAAAGATTGTATAAAACACAGTGTATATGAATGAAACAAACAGCCTTTTCAGCCCTTTCCATGTCTATAAGCTCTCACAATTATTTGTTGCATATGGATAAAGGAATTATTATATGAAAACCATTAAAATATTTTAAAAAATTGATGCTCCCAAGTGCTAATTTTTAAAATCAAAATATGTTCCCTTTTACCTCCTTCTTTTCCTAAAACTTCAGTGTCTACTCTCCTGACATTTGATTCCTTTTGAGAAAAAGGCTGGAAAGAGAATTAGTTACATTGATTTTATGGTTTCCCTTAGGCCCAAATTGACTCACTAAGTTGCATAATAATTTATCCTATGAATTTATAATTCTAAGGAATCTCTCGAGGTTTGGTAATATATCCAAACTCACTTCTTAAAAGGTGATTTGCAGCATATTAACTGCAGAGAATTTATCAATAGATACAAGATGTTCTAACCTTGGCTTAAAATTCTGTAGATGAAAAGACATTCTTAGAATATGTTGTGAGTATAAACCTCATGTCCTTTCATGTGAAGAAAAAAGTATAGTTCATGAAAAAATCACTCAGAAACAACCGTTTCTAACATGTCTTATCTGGTTACATACTTTTAGTCAATATGTCCATTTTCTTGTGTGATTATAGTTTGTTTAGTCCTAATGCTTTAAGACCAATTTTTAATCCATCAGAGGATCTTTAAGAGGAAGATGCACAATCTCTTCCTGTGAGATTTACAGGTTCAGAAAACCCACTGGCGGGCTGGTTATGAATGGGTTCTGGCTTGAAGGTAATGAGAGAGGGAAAGAGGGAGAGGCAGAGGGAGGGGTTGTGGGGAAACTACCATAACGTATTTATGCACCCCACTTAATAGATATATAACTAACTTTTTTTGCCTCGTAACAACATTGCTACTTTTGGTAAATGTGCATACATTTCTGCAGTATATTTTGTCAAGTATTATAAATATTTTAAAGATTATAATCACTGATTCACTCTTTGTAAAGCAGGAATGAAAGTCATGACTGACCCTGCAGGGAGTTTTTAGACGCTGTAAATCACACAGAAGGAGGTCGCCCATCTTTCTCCTGAGGAGCAACTGGTGGATTTGAACCTCTTGTCTTTGGGTTGGCAATGTAACTCTGTATTCACTAGTTCACTAGACTCTTAACAGACACTGTTAATTTTATCAAAGAAAGTCTGGACCAATTTCAGTCCTCCTAGTTTATATAATTAGCCAAATATAAAATATTTCCAAATGTAATCATAGCTCTCAAACCCTAGGTCTCTTATTGTTACAAATGGATCACAATCTGCATATGTAAAATAGTTTATTGTCTCCACTTCGGGGAGACAGCCATCCCCAGCACTGGGTCATATTTCCAGTATAAAATCTTTGTTTCTAAGACAAATATCTTGTGAAATTATATTTTTTTCCTACTATTTCTTATCTATCAACTAAGGGCCCCCAAATCACTACTGTTAAGTCAGCTTCAAACATAGAAACTACAGGTAGGACACAGTAGAACTGACCCACTGAGCTCTGGTAGCCAGATGAGAGTGGTGGTTTGAATCCACCAGTGGCTTCCGGGGGCGGGGGGAGGGGAGGTGTAAAGATGGGCCATTTCCTCCCACGTGATTAACAGCCTCAGAAACCCCATGAGGGTCAGGATGAGCCAGTTCCACGTGGTGTAGTGAATCATACAGACGTTGACAGCCATACTTTTCTCCCATGGGCCATTTTTGCGTTTGGACGGTCACCTTTGGTTATAATAGTCAAGTGTTTAATCTCTGAGTCAGGAAGCCTCCAGTCCAAGTAAGGTTACTTGTCTGTCAGGGCATCATGTTTGTCAGCCTGTGCTAGGACTATACCTCTGCAGCTTTTGTTAGAGAAGACAATAATGACATTAGTTTTCAGAGTTGAGCAGGATCCCCTCTCCTCTCCTCTCCTCTCCTCTCCTCTCCTCTCCTCTCCTCTCCCTTCCCCTCCCCTCCCCACACCAGACTGTGTTGTTTCCAGCTGCTCAAGCCCCTGGGGGAAGCGGGGGTCCTTACCTGTCAGCACACTCTGAATGAGATCTTCTGCTTTGGCAGGTGCCTTTACAGAACCTGCAAGGAGAATAAAGGTCAAATCTTGTTCTTTAACTTCTTTTTAAAATTAAGCCTCCAGTAAAACAAGAGTTGAGTCAAAGTCTCTCCATGGACAAATCAACACTCAGGGAGAGAAAGATTTGGAAAAATATTATAAAAAGCATTTTCATTTTTGCAACTTTGATACTAAATTAAATGTGACATTCCATGCTCTGTTTGTAGAGAGAATAAAAACATAAGACTTCAATTTTGAATCAAAACTCCAGACAGATGTAACAAATTCAATCTAGACAATACTTATTGCCATCTTCTGGCAAAAATTAGGTATGGCAAGTAGTCCCTTAGTTTTGATTTTTTTTATTTTTTAATACTGGTTTATTTACAAAGTTTGTATTCATTATTTTTCATACCAGATCTTCCCCATTTCCTTTACATCCCCCTCCCTCCAACCACCAAATTATGTGACCATATGATTAACCAGTCTCTCCCCCCACCCCACCCCC